GACATTTGCTAAACAGTTTCTTCTGAGCAATCAGTCTGGCAGCAAAAAGAGTCTTTTTAAAATATACCATTTGATGAAAATCTACACTATAGGTTTCAGACTTGCATCTGAAGAAGTGAGGTTCTTACCCACGAAAGCTTATGCTCCCAATACTTCTGTTAGTCTTAAAGGTGCCACAGGACCCTCTGTTGCTTTTTAGATTCAGACTAACATGGCTACCCCTCTGATACTATAGGTTTGTCTTCCCCTCCAAAATGAATCTCTCTCAACTGATGTGGAAAAACATCAGTTCAGTCAGTGAATGTGGTATCCCAGAGAAAAATGTGATTTACTGTTGTGTTCAATGAACAGTTTGTGTGAAGGAAAATACTTTCCAAAGATGTATGTGCTGAGGTGGTGTTGGAGTTCTACTTATCATGTGCATCTCCACCTTCCAATGCCTGCCCATGATATTTCATTTTAATTGTTTCAGGACAGAATCAGTTTCAAAAGGACCTTGATATATCTGCTTCCCTAGAAAGCTGCTTCTGAGCAAGTCAACTTCAGCAACAGACACACACACTAGCAAAAGCAACAACTTTCATTTTGCAACATGTATGACCTTTGGCCAGTCACTTCAACTCATTGTGCCAGCTTCCTTATAATAGAGGTAATAGTGCTTATGTACCACATCTGAGTCCCATGAGGTTTAGTTCAATAAGTTTATAAAGTACTTTAAGATGCTCAGATGGAAGGAGCTAAAGACAAAGTTAGCATCACAACTAAAATATACCTTCTCTCTCCCCCCCCTCCCCCCAGTCAGTTTAGTTCAGTGTTTCCATTCTAGTCAATAACTTTTTGCGTATGGCTTTGCCATATGAATTCCTATGAATTAGGTGCTATTTGGGAAGGAAGACTATTGATACAGCATCAGAAGACTAAGCTTCCTTTAAGTTCATTATACATTTAAAAAAAAAATCACTTGTAGATAAAGCATTCCTCTCCCCCCCCCCCCACTTCCTAAAAGATTATTTTCTCTTGAAAGTGGGTGTTAAGCTGGTGTGCTAACAATTTTTTTGTGTGCAAGTCAAACTACCTCTAATCCATAACAAAACAGTAACAGAGGGAAAGGAGCTATAATTAATACTTATGTAAAGAGCCAAGTCACATGCCAGAGAAAGGTTGATGCTGTCTGGGACTATTTGGCTGGCACAAAATGCTCTAATGAGCAATTCATTACTAAGGAGACATTCAGATTTTTCTGTAAATTTGTGCTTATGACCCAATTAGACGGCTGACTGTTGTCTTTAAAGTATCTGTTTTGAGGGGATGCGTGACAAGCCAGTTAGTTGAGGGACTCTCAGTATTAAGTCTATTAATGAAAACTTTGCTTAACCAGGACATTGCTTACAAGCATTAACTTTTCCCTATGTACACATTTTCTCAAGCCAATGTGAGTGGACCTCAATCCTGCAGGGTGTTGCGCAGCCTCAGCTGCCAATGGAAATTAAAGTTACCCAGTACCTCATACGCGATGCTCAGCACTTGGCAGGACAGATCCTCTTAAATTGAAACCTATGTACCTAGATCGTGGTATAGGAAATTAATTGCTCAGATGAGCAGCTCATTTACATGCAGTGAGTAGGATTGTGGGGACAGAGATATCACAAAAGGCATGGATTTGATTATTTCGCTGGCAAAATATTCTCTTATTTTGGGGAGTTTATGTATTTTCTTGGGAGGCATGCACACATATTCCAATGCATGGTTCCACCAGGTGGAAAGCAACTTCCTTACCAGACAATTCAGATTCTCTAAAGTTTGGATATTCTTAGCACAGTAAGAATGCTTAAGCTATTTGGGGGATCCGGGGCGCTGAAGTGGTGCCAATTAAAATCCCTTGTGAGGCTCCTTCAGAATGTTCCTTGTGAGACAGAGATAATAGAAGCTATACCCCTACATGTCTAAATTTTAGGGCAGGTCTACACTATGGGGGAAAAGTCGATCTAAGCTACGCAATTTGAGTTACCTTAATAGCATAACTCAAGTCAACATAGCTTAGATCTCCTTACCGCAGGGTCCACACTACACTATGCCGACGGGAGACGCTCTCCTGTCAACTCCCCTTACTCTTCTCGTTCTGGTGGAGTACCGGATTCCATGGGAGAGCGATCTGCAGTCAATGTAGTGGGTCTTCACTACACCTGCTAAATCGACCCCCAGTGGATCAATCGCTGCAGTGTCTGAAGCTTTTTATAAAAAGCTTTAGTCTTTTTCCCCCTCAAGGAGCTTCAAAGCATGTTAGGGGTTGAGGTGAATCTACAGGGGCCTTTGTCTGTCCATTCCATGATTGGCTCTAGCCCAGATTTGACCAAGCCTTTGTGACATGGTCTGCACAGTCACTTCTGAGGCTCTGCATTGCCAATGGCTCAGGGCTGTTCTCATTAGGTCATAGAATCATAGAATCATAGAATATCAGGGTTGGAAGGGACCTCAGGAGGTCATCTAGTCCAACCCCCTGCTCAAAGCAGGACCAATCCCCAGACAGATTTTTACCCCAGTTCCCTAAGCGGCCCCCTCAAGGATTGAACTCACAACCCTGGGTTTAGCAGGGCAATGCTCAAACCACTGAGCTATCCCTCCCCCCTGGTCCTGCCCAGTTAGGTTTAATTTTCAGCAAACATTCCATTATTTCTGCTTTGTCCTGGGCTTGTCTTTGTCCCTGTCCCTGTTAATTACTAGCAGAAGCGCAGCAAGTGGAAGCAGGAGATTGAACATTTGGCTACTACTCTTTGGCCTGGTTGACATGCTGAAGACTGCACAAATAAAGCACTGAGGTGCTGAGTCTGCTTGAGGGTCACTGCAAAGTCACATGAAATTCCAGCCAGTGATCTCACCCTTCCACAAGCATCCAATTCACAAAATATAACCACTATTCAGCTCTTAAGACTGTTCTCACAGCACACTGTTAGAGGATAACCTGAT